TTGTTTGATTTAATGAACATTTTTGGAAATGCATGCTCATTTTTTGAATCAGTGCACATTTGGTGAATGAATAAACTATTTTGTAAGTCATGAACCGTTTTTGAATATTAGAATATTTTTTCCAAATATGAACCCTTTTTGCATTGGAAAATTTTTGTTAAAATTCATTGACATTTTTTAATACATGAACTTTATCCAAAAAATCATGAACATTTTTTCAAGTCCCGTACATTTTTTCGAAACTTCGTTTTTTTTAATAAGCAAACATTTTTTTACAAAATCGTGAACATTTTCTGAATCCACATTTTATTTCAGAATTCACATTTTTATTTATTTTAGCAAACTTTTTTGAAGACCCAAATTATTTAAAGTAGAAAAGAAAATAAAAATAAAAAAACTAGATCTGAAAAACAGGCTGCCCGGACATGAGTCGGTCTAACAGGGTGCTCTGTGTCTTCTTCCGGCGCGCTGAGCGCAATATAGGAGGTCCCTACTGCATGGGCCGGTCCAGGCGGAGGATTCCTGTATGTGAAGCGTTTTTTATCAGTTATAGGTGGCATTGGTTTCTCTAAAAAAGGTGGCATTGGCGGGTAATAATTTGCAACTTTGGGGGCAATTTCCGTGACATACCGCCAGAAGCAATAGCCCCTTTATTATTAGGTATAGATATCGTTATCATATCATTACGGTGCCCTATAATCTATCATATACTCCCTCCGTCCCATAATATAAGAACATTTTTGACACTACCATAGTGTTAAAAACGTTCTTATATTTTTGGACAGAGGGAGTAGTACATATTCTCATATATATATAGTGTTAAATGATAGGCTTGTTAGTTAGTTTGTATAGATGTGACACATATGTCATGTTATTGTGTGCATGTAATGTGTGCGTTGTGTATCTTGTAACAAAGGCAGGTTGTTAGGAAGATTTGATCCTATCTCTTGTATAGCTTGGAGGATGGGTCAAGACTCCAACAACCTGCCGCCGCATGTACTCCTTGTGCCATATAAACACGCACGCGACCCTGCTATGAAGCATACGCTTACCGCAAACCAATTCCTCTTACATGGTAATCAGAGCACCTCTCGAGCTCATCCATGGCAACATCTTCAAGTACCTTCCCATCCTCTCCATTCGCTCACGTCGTCTCGGAGAAGCTCACCAAGGGCAACCAAGCGCTATGGCGGGCGACGGTGTTGTCTGCCATCCGCGGTGCCCAGATGCAGAAGTACCTCGACGTCGATCATCCGGTGCCGCCCATGCAGCTGGAGATCACGAACTCCAATGGGAAAACCAAGAAGAAGACCCCCAACCCGGAGTTCCAAACCTGGTATGCACAAGATCAGCAAGTTTTCTCGTATCTTCTAACAACGCTGCCCCTTGAGATGGCAATTCAGGTCGCCACTTGCCACACCTCGGCCGAGCTGTGGAACACGGTCCAGGGGATGCTGTCCTCACAGACCCGTGGCGCGACCGTGAACGTGCGGATCGGATCGCCCTCGCCAATCTCCAGAAGGGAAACAACTCCATCACCGACTACGTCGGCAAGATCCGAACCCTCTGTGACGAACTTGTCGCAGCAGGCAAAAGGGTGGACGAGGAGGATGTCGTTTCACACATCCTTGCCGGGCTTGAAGAAGACTTCGACCCAGTTGTTTCGGCCATGTGCTCCCGTGTGGAGCTAGTCACCGTGCCAGAGCTGTACTCACAGCTTGTTAGCTTTGAGACACGGATGAACCTTCGCCATGGAGGATCGCAGTCCTCGGCCAATGCGGCAACACATAGGCGTGGCCGTGGAGGTGGTGACCGTGGCCGCGGCAGACAAGGCGGCGGTAACACTGGTGGCGATCGCGGCCGTTCCTACACCAAGCAAAACGGTCGCGGTGGAGGTGGCAGGGGCAACTACAACAACTCTGCTCCTGCCCCCAAGGTGGTGTGCCAGATCTGTGGCAAGCCAGGCCACCCGGCCTGGAAGTGCTGGAAGCGCTATGACGAGTCGTACCAGGGAGAAGAAGAGAAGTCCGCCAACATGGTGGCTCCACAGTACGGGGTTGACTCCAACTGGTACCTGGATAGCGGCGCAACCGACCACATCACCGGCGATCTGGAGAAGCTGACGGTGTGGGACAGGTACACCGGCAGCGAACAGATTCGCACTGCAAGCGGTTCAGGTATGGCTATCCAATACATTGGTTATTCAGCTATTCACACTCCCGATCGAGATCTTCACTTAAACAAAATTCTTCATGTTCCAGAAGCTGATAAAAGCCTAATTTCAGCTAGTCGGCTTGCACAAAAAAATAAGAAAAAAATGCACCTTGTAGCAGCAGGCTTAACGACTCTGTGGAGAGGAGAGACAACAAGCGGTAGCCAAAAGCGCATCTGGCATGAACCCAAAACTACTGTGGTCCCTCTATCTAGATAACGGGTGCCAGTGCTAGAGGAAAGAAAGAAATTTGAAGAATGAGTCAGAGTCCTGCCGAGCGCAGACCCTCTCAATCGCCATTTTATTACATGTCGTCCATAGTGTCCATGACATCTCCGCAAATATAAGCCATAATAAGTGGCACCGCCCCCCGGTCAGGTTAGCTCTTGTTTCTAGGAACTCCGCAAGGCCTAGGGCCTCCCAGTCTGGCCCGAGGGCCTCGTGGACGAAACTCCAGAGGACGTTCACCACAACGCATGAGAAAAGGATGTGGGACCCAGTCTCTGGTACATCACAGAGGCGGCACAAGCCATTACTACATCTGCGCCTCTTAAGCATCTCTGTCTTAGAGGGTAGCCGGTCCAGCAACAATTGCCACACAAAGATCTTGCCATCAGGAGCAACAGGGCCTTCCACGAAGGCGCGGTCCATGGAATGGTCACCGTGCGGCATATCTCATGATATACATAGCTCACAGAGAATACATCCGAAGGTGAACGACTCCAAGAAATGGTGTCCGGACTGTCCGGTAGCAGCGGCGGGAGGGCTGCCCGAAAGCTAGCCCACTCTACGGTTTCTGCGTGCCCAAATTTGCATCGGAACAAGATGTACAGTGCCCATTCTGGGCGGCCACAGAGACCAACAATATCGGATCAACGCGAATAGCGAAAAAGCTAGGAATGCCCACCCGAAACGGCTTGCCACCAGCCCAGGGATGAGGCAAGTCATATTCATTAGTGTATGGCTTACAATCGACAAAATAATGATTTTTCATGTTTAGTTTGCATGCATTAGTACCCTCAAGGGTTAATGATTGCTTTGCAAAAAAATAATATTATGTTAATTTCCTAGCAATAATTCATTTCCAAAACAAAATTGCATGGTGTTTCTTCTATAGTAATGCATGCTAGTAAATTTATAAACAATTTCTTTCATTGAAAAGTTATACAATAGTCAAATAGTCTGAACACTTGTACTTGGGTACATATATACACAATGACTTATTCTATGTACATACATACAAGCATAGTCCAATATATTTTTAAGTGCATATACTCAAATCCCCGCAAAAATGTGTTCATACTCAAGATATTTCTCTATATACATACCTCGATGTGAATTTCATTTGTGTATACCCATTACCCATAAATGTCAAGTGGTACATGTACCCGAGATACCCATGCGTACATGTTATTAGATCATGATATCAGTTAGTGGGTTGATGGCGATGAGGAGCATGAGCTCCTCGTCATCTAGCGCGTCGTTTCCGGAGTCGAAGTTCTCTTCTTTCACGGGGTCGTCCCTGTCGCGAACTTGACCATGATGGAGGGGGCGGAAGAGATTGTGAGAGGAAGTGGAGGAGATGGGAGGGGAACAAAGAGGGGACAAAGAGGACCGAGTCTTTGAGTAGGGTTTGTCGGAGTGTGTGGTTTTTTTTTGTGGGGGCAGTGATGAGGGCGGCACGGGGTATAGTTGGCTGGTCCGATCTGGCGGCAGTGTCCGGGCGCATCTTGGGTTCTTCATACCTGCCCCGCATATGGACTATATATGACGGTTTCGGGACAACCCGGGCGATTGGGCTGGTTCTGGGGAGCCCGGTTAGGTGGCAATTTTACTCTGGGCAGTCTGGCCGGCGTTTAAGGTGCATTTGAGGGCTCCAGTGAGTTTGATTCCATTGTTACTGTTTCATGGGTGTAAATAATGTTGTACAAACTGGGTAATTTCCTACTGCTCACAATTTTCCTTTAGAATTCAGCTCCAACCCAGGCACGACTCTTCAGTCTTCACCAAGAAGGCTCGCTCGTGGCTGTGAGAGATTTTGGAATACAGCTAGATGTGGACTGCTACGCTCTTCTGCCACACGGTGCAACGCTGGAGTGTGCTGCATCACTCACAGGGATGTAAACCGGGTTCTGTTTAATCCCGTTTAAGCCCACTTACTGATCTAATGGTTCAGTAATATTTTTTTAAAGGAAAACTGAACTATGGAGCTAACTAAATCTGACTAAATGGGAATTGCGGGTGCCGTTTATTACATTTCACTCATTAACGTGATTTGACAATGCACCCTGGGAGTGGGAGGGGTGGCTCTCCGGGGCAGGTGCACTTGTAGTACTTTTTTGCAACAAAGAACCTTGTTGAAGCGTGTACTTGACAGATACGAGTATACGACGGTTGTATACTCCATGGTGTACATATAGCATGCATGGCCGGGGAGGCAAGTGGATGGCATGTGACCCAAGGAATAATCTATATATGGACCTGGACCTGAATACAGTGAATCATTACATTTCACGCAAGGAGTATATCACAAGCCGATGGCAGAAACTGAATCATTCCAAGCGGAGCAAGTTAACAACTGAAACTGATTATTACATGTTGATTTTCTCCACTAACACTCCGGTAATACATATCATATAAGGAAAGTTCTCAAATGCATACATCCAGAGAAGATATATAGGATACCTCACACCTCACACACTCATCACCATCTGATCGATAATTGGAAAGACAGCAGTACTAATGAGTAATGACATGGTAATAGTCGAGCCATAATCGATCGAAAAGACTAGTAAGCAGCCCACATGATGACCGTCGCGAGCTCATAGTAGGTAGCCACGCACGCTACGCCAACGAAGGTGCCGAAGGTGTAGGCAGAGGCCTTGCTTGCCCCGCTCCAGCAAGAGAAGGTCGAAGACTTCACCTGCACCAGGTAGAAATCGAGCACCGCGAGAAGAACGATGCTCACGAACGACAGGAGGAGAGCCAGCATCCCATATGCTCGGATCCACGGAGTCGGCGTGGGCGCGTCGGCCGCGGCGGTGCGGCGCTTGAGGCTGGAGGTGAGGAGGCCGGAGACGAGGATGGAGAACAAGAGGTAGGGCTGTATCATGCCGATCCGCTCGTAGTAGACGTACGGCACGACACAAACGCTGGGGGGACGGAGGGAGCCCTGCACCGGCGGCGACGGAGTGACGAGGACCGCGAAGACGAAGAGGCCCGCAAGGATGGCCACGACCTCGAAATGCTGTGCGAAGGCACCCTTGAGAGCACTCTGCTTGAGAGCTGCCATGCTCCTGCGGTGGGTCAACAAATTCCACAAGGTTTAGGTGAGAAATTAAGAGGCACAAGAACCCGGCCGTGATGCCTAAGCAGAATGCATGAACAGAGGAAAGAGGAGCACTTACAAAGACGAGGCGCGTGCGGAGGAGGACGAACGCTGCGCAGCAAACGCAGCTGGAGTGGGTCGCGCCGCGCGTGAGGAGGAGGACGACGGTGGAGCTAGGAGGAGGTATGGAGTGGGGAGGCGATTATATAGGGAAGAAGGTGGGGCGAAGCTGTATTATTTTATCCTCTCATACAATAACCTAATTAACCCAAGTAGGAGTACCACGGGGGCAACGGGCAGGGAGTGATGTTGGCTTTGTTTAAATATAATACAAGTGCTTATGGAGTGTTACTACAAGTGCTGGCTGCCATAGCTTGAATCGTGATTATGCCGCTGCTGCAGAAGATTTGGGCTCCACGATCCGGCGTCTGCACCTAGCTTCCCGCAGAATTCAATTCCTTTTATTTATGGAGAGAGCCACCTACTTACATTACTACTACTCCCAGTTTGAGCGATGCAGCCTCGATCCCCTCTCGCAGTTTGAGAGATGGGGCCTCCCCCGGTTGTCAAATCCTTTTCGTTTCAAAAATGGGAAGCAAGCATGTGACCGCTGTGCATTTTGCACACTGCTCCACGTATTGCTTCTTTGGGTTTACCAAGCCAATTGAGTGCCGGAGCTGGATACCCTAATTACACTACTACATATATAGAAAAGACAATAATAAGATAACTTAAAAACTTTATAGAACTCCATCAAATTATGAGATTATTTTTTTTAGAACCAAGGCTCGCGGACCGGCTTTGAATTAACAAAATCATCAACCGGACAGGAGTTACAGCAAACGATCCCAAATTACAATGGCCGAACTGATGCAAGGGGGAACACTGAAAAGCAAGCACGGACTAGTACTACAGCCTCCACAAGCAGCCAATGAAATGAATTCTGACCTACTTACATTACTACTTCTAGTACTCCTCTTTCCTCTGTTACATTACTACAGCCTGCTTGTGAGAAACAAACAAAATTTCATAACCGACGCGTCTTCTTTGGAGGCATATACATAACAGAAGCAAGCGTCCTCTTTGGGGGCAAACATACAGAAGCATGATCGGAAGGGCCACTGCAGTTTTAGATGGCAATGCAGTTTTCGGTTGCATTTTTTCACACGTCTGAAATGTATGGCATATTATGTACATCAAGCCGGCCATTTTGTGTTGTCACTACCTTGCATAATCATGTCTGGAGGATTTACTAGCACCAGAGTGATGAACAACCAATCAGGCCAACACGTAACCATACAAACATTCATTTGCTAGTCAGTAGTTTCCCTACCATGGAATATTTTATGCATACCCGGTGCCATTTGTTTTGTAGGGAATTTCTCCTACGCACATGTCATTTTTTGTGTGTTTTTTTGGTTTTCCATACTATCGTGGCAATTTGACTAGCATGGCATTTTTATTGTTTCTATCATGGCAAATTTTTGCATGTAATTCTTTTGTTATAACAAAGTAAAATTATGAGCATGGCCATTTTATTAACAAGAGCATGTGATTCTTTTTAGTGGCATGATAATTTTATTATTTTGATCATGGCAATTTTCTTGTTTAGTCATTTCAATCTTCGCATCCCTATCACCGAAACTAAATTTTTTGTACCATGGCAAATACCTTTTTGTTGGTCATGGTAGCTTAAATTTATAAAATTGTGACAACTTTGAAATATATTTGTTTCAGTGCACAATGTAAAATTCGTATGTTTTTCTTTTAATTGACATGCAAATTTGCCATGTTTGATTTTATTTTTTTGTAGTTTATCATGGCAATTTTCTATAGGTTTGTTTCTTTCTTTCTAATTTGTTTGTAGCTTACAATGGTTTGTTAGGGCATCTCCAATGCTAACCCTCTAAAAGGACATTGTATCCGTCCACATAGGTCGCCGGCCATCAAACCATGCCCCGCATACATTTCAAACCATAGTTGAACAAACCGGAGGAATTACATGCATACCAGATGATTTTTATCTAAAGCATAGCACATTAATTACATTTTCGACATATTTCAGTAAACAAAAATGTCCGGATCTAAACTAGTCTAAATCTAAGGCGTCACATACTACGTGTCCTTGTTGTTCCAATTTGTGCCAATGTCAGGGGTTGTCTCCATGTCCGGCGGTCAGTTGAGCCCTGTAGAGTGAAGGTGCAATCACCGGCGAGGAAGAGTAAGACATGGGACACAGACGGGCTCACTGACTCGAGGCCTTGCCGTCTCATATGCCCTACTTCTTCTCATCGGAGGCCGCAATCTGTCGGCACCGGTGGACGTGGAGTCGATGATGGATGCGGATAGGGGGATGCTCGTTGTGCCACCGGCTCCAACGACGTGTTGTTAGCGGAGCTAAGGACGCACAACTGTCGACGTTCTCACCGTGATCGCCGAACAATCTCGTGACCACGTTGGTGGCACAAGCGCAAGAGGCCCCGTAGAGCGCCCGCTGCTCGGCGACGAAGTTAGGGTTCTCTAAGGCCAGGGCCTCCTCGCTCATGCCCTTGGCATAGATTTGGCCCTCCGCCAACCAATGCTGCTCAAGGAAGGCGAGGTTGTACCAGCGTTCCTCTTGTAACACCCAACATCCGGTCCTAGCCTTGACAAAGACTTTGCAATCCTCGCTAAAACGCATATTGGCCGCCCGAACATATGACTCCATAACATACACATCGACATATGTTGGTAACATGGTGGACATCACAAAAAATACAATCATTCATGAATAGATGAGTAATACAAGATAAGATTATGGCAACATATGTCGATACATAAATATTTCACCAATTAGAGTTCAACATGACCAAACATTATATGAATCATTGCAACAAAGAAGGCACAGGTCCGAGTATGGACAAGAAGGAAATATGCCAAAGAGGCAAGAGAAATTAAATAAGCAACGTCCGCCCTGCTAATCCAAGGCTTCCTAATGATCTTCGTCGAAGAAAGTATTCCAAAAAGAAGGTACCATGTTCTCACTTTAGAGCGATGCTTTACCTGTACCTACATCTGGGATTGTTGTGGTATTTGTGAACCTTCTGGCACTCAGCAAGTACATTACAAGGGGAATCAAGACTAACAATACTTATGGTTTGGAATATGATTAAGTGATGAGCTTGCAGCAAGCAGCTAAGCTCACCGCGTCCTGCGAATATTAGAACAAGATGAGAT